CTCTCTCCTCCGATGTCATTCTTCCTTCTCCGGCGCCAGTCAAGCGAAGCTGAGCAGTGAGATCCGCGCGCGGGCCATCCGCCGCTACCGAGATCCAGCGCGGGCAAGCTCTGCCCCAGCGCGGCGCGGCCCCAGCTTGAGGACCTCCTGCGCGACGCGGCACCCGGCGCGGCCCCAGAGCTTCGCGGATCCGGCCGTCTTCTTCCTCGTGAGATCTGGCTGCCTCGTCTTCCTCGCGCTTGAGCTCGCAGCTGCCTTGTTCGGGTGGCGCGACGGGATGGGAAAGGGCCGCGCGGCGCCTGCAGCCGAGCTCCGGGCTGCTGCTGTGCCGAGATCCAGGTAGCGCGGCGCAGCCGAACTACGAGCAGCGAGCTCCGAGCACCGGCAGGTTGGGGAAGGGACTCGAGCGGCGTGGGGGAGGCCAGCGGCAACAGGCACGGTGGTGATTCCGTGACGCGGCTTGAGGATTTTATTTATTTATTATGTATAATATAAAAGGAGAAAAGAGATTGACATATATATAGTAAAAGGAAAAAGATTTACACATGGGTCCTGGTGGGGTCCCACTACAACAGTAGCTAACGGCGTCAAATTTCTCATCCATCCCATTCATATTTATCCTTTGAACCAAACATAAAATGGATCCATCCCGTCCTTCTCAACCAAATAGAAAATAGAGTGGTTCTATCTCTATCCTGTCCCAGAAAACAGAGATGGGACCATCCCACCCCACGTTAACTCTCAACCAAACGCTACCTTAAAGGACGGCCTCTCTCGAAGTTGTAGTAGAAGCTGGTTTGCAGATTTTGTGGCGCTCCTCAAGTGATGCAGTGGTGTCTTTTTTTTCTCTCTAAGATGCTGCAAGTTTTGAGGTGTATTTTTGCTAGGTCTGCTGGTTTTGATGTGTAGAGGTAAGTCGTGTCCGGTGTGGTTATGATTAGTTTGTGTGGGCTTACTTTGTAAACGGGTAATCCAGTGTTTCTCTATGCTTTCTATAAAAGCGGGATCAGAATCTTTAATCTAAAAAAACGTTATTTGACAACAAAAAGAATTTGCATTTTTTTCATGACTTATCTTCGTGTCTTTTTTATGACTAGTAATGAAATTGAAATCTTTCTTTTTTGACACTAAACTTATCTTCGTGTCTTTTTTGTTGACACTTCCGCTAGTTTGCACCTCAAAAACGTTCAGTGGATAGTAAAAAGATCAGTTTGCCTGTTAAATATTTTTATCCCTTTTTTCCTTTACCCACTTCATTGGTTATGTTCTTTTTGCTGGTTTTCTTTTCAGTTTCTTTGTATTTAACTAACCTTTACTTTCATTCTTTCTCCTTAGCTGGTTTTCTGTTTGTATGTAGAGTCGCTGCATCTAGGGCCGGTAGCCACGGGATCCTTTTGGATCAATCGTTCCCCATAGAAGCTTAGAGATATTTTCTTGAAACTTTTAGAAGCAATAGAGATATTTGTATGTTTTAAAATGATTATCATGTTTTTACCAATTTTTTTAATTAAAAAGGATTTAAGATCGGGGAGGTAATTTAAATGGTTTTCAGAGTTAAAAAAAATAGCAAGAGTCCAGCAATAGTGAAGTAGACAAAAAAAAACTTTTTCCGCCATAATTTTTTGGTGCAAATTACTTTTTCCGCCTTACTAGGCGGATGAGCTCGCCCTTGCTAGCCCACAAGGCCCTCGAAGCAGTCTTGGCAGAGGCGGGCCAAATTTAATTAGGAATTGTTGGATGCGTTGGGCTAACTCTAAGCAGGTCGACAGGAGCGCGAGGTTGGGTTGGGCTAAGTCTAAGCGGGTTGACAGGAGGTGAGGTTGGGCCATCCCTGACGACGAGTGACGAGAGAGCTGGGTGCTCGCGAAAACAAGTTTGAGCCTGGGCCAGCTTGAACACCTTTCTTTTTCTTTCTTCCCTTTTTCTCCTTGGGATTTCTAAATATCACTCGGATTCTCAGTTTCCTTGGACTAGGTTTGTTCTAGGATTGGTATTCGTATTTGGTCGAATTTACAGTTGGCCCAATATATTATCTGCAGTGCTAGCGCCAAGATGTTCGGATGGATGCCCGCGTTCGGCGACCCGCGCCTGCACTCCGTCACTCCCGTGCACCTGCATCCCGCGCCCGCCTAAGCAGGTCCCGCACCGCGCGACCCTTCCGACTATCCGTGGGGAGTCCCCGCTCGCGCCCTCCGCTTCTCATGCGCATGCATGCGGCCAATAATTGCAGCAGGCGACTACAACAGGTGGCTATGCCAGCATCCAGAAGAGGGGGGCGGGGCGACAGATGCCCAGCCGGCACCGGGAGGAGGAGGAGACACTGAGGCGAAGGTGAGGCAACAGAAAAGCGAAAAAACAGAGATGCAACACCCGATCTATTTTTAAAACATCCAAATACAACACTTGCAACATACACTAAAGACAGATGAAACATGCATCTGAAACACTAGTCGCAACACCAGATCTACTTTTGAATCATCCAGATGAAACACTTGCAACATACATACAAAACAGCTGAAACACTCGAAACATACGTATGAAATACTTGCAAAAAACACCTGAAAACACTTCATATGTGTGAAAACATTTGCAACATACAGATAAAACACTTGCAAATATACGTCTGGAAAATGAGATAAAATATTTGGAACATACACTTGAAACATACGTGTATAGCCACTGCAACATGTGCAGCATTACAATATACTTTTGCAACATCAAGATGAAATACTTGCAACATCTAGATGAAAACATCTAAAACACTTGAAACATACTCTTGCAACCATGGGCTTTGCTTGGACGAATGGAGTCACGCCGGCACAGAGGTCGGCGGCGGCGCACGGACCTTGTTGTGCGGTAGTGGCACGAGTAGCTCGTCGGCGGGTGCAGCGTCACACAAATCTCGTCCTCCTCGCCTGCTTGCTGGAGCATCCGTCGTGGAGGCTCGTGTGGCTCGATGAAGGCGGGCGAGGCAGACTGGGCCCGGTGGGGAATGCGGCGTGGAAGAGGCGGCGCGGGGAGCCAGCATGGAGGAGCCTGCAGGGGATGGGGCACGACGCTGTGGGAGATGGGTGGCGGCGAGGCGGAGTGAGGTGGGTGAATAGACACAACGACGCAGGGAGAAAACGGCACAGCGAGCATCGAAACGTGCGGATAGGGTCGCTAGGCGAGCGACGCGTATGAGAGTGAGGGGTGGGAGGTGTTCGACCGTCCGGTGTCTTAATGTTCAGTTATTCGGCCTGTTTTGGCCCGGTGACGGCTTGTACGGTTACATGACGGCTTAAATAAATGAAACATTCGTTTTAGGATCCCTACGATTCCTAGCGCTAGAGCTAAGGCAAAGGGATTGAGTAGGGATGAAAACGAATAGGGTACGAACGGATATCACTGATATTACATTTGTTTTTATATTTCTGTCTGGATTCGGATTCGAATACGGATAGTATCAATCATATCGGATATGATATGATTGGATATCGACATCATAAATATGCGATTTGAATATTCGGATACGGATACAGTATCGAACGTTGAATATCTGAACTCGGATACGGATAAATCTGAACCATTTAAACGGATTCAGTCTCGAATATGGTCGGAAAATATCTTCGTCCCTGAGTGGGACGCTAGGAAAACATATTCAATCTTGGGCGCTTGTGGAACAGCGCGGACTCCGCGGAGGGATCGCCAGAGATGCATGGCCTTGTTTAGATTGCAAGTTTTTTTTCACTCTCTTTCCATCACATCAAATCTTTGAACACATGCATGGAGTATTAAATGTAGATAAAAAAATAACTAATTACACAGTTTGATTGTAAATTACGAGACGAATCTTTTGAGCCTAGTTAAACCATGATTGAATAATAATTATCAAATACAAACGAAAGTGCTACAATGCCGAATACTGATTCGTAACCCCTGTATAAACAAGGCCCACGTTGTTTTCTGATGGCCTCCGTTTCTCCGATGTGCGCGCCACGTGGCTGAACAGAAACGACAAAGGATCCCAAAGGCCAAAGCCCACTCCCGAAAAGCAAAGCCCACTCCCGCAAAGTGGAGATCCGCATGCGCGACGCGACCCTCGCGCCTTCAGAGTTCAGAAGAAGCAGGCGATCCTCAAGATAAACCTACACTTACAGTGGGTCCGTCGTTGCACTTGGACCCGCATGCCGTGTCACCGGCGTCGCGCTCCACGCCGTCGTCCGGCACTCCGGCCCCTCCCCACTTGCCGGCCGCGCGCTACGACGCTAGTGCGATCGCCGGTTATGCATGTCGGCATGTACTAATCACCTTTGGGATGTGGATAACGGAAAAGCAGTAAGTCACACTTTGGCGACCTTTCTCATTCAGTACTATTCTACCATCTCCCATATCCGCCGTACGAGAGCAAACAGACGGTGGATCACGCGCGTGGCACCACTACACACGACGGGGTTACATTAAATTTTTTAGATAACGAGACGAGACGGCGACGGCGCCACGCGCAACCTCGCACCCGCGGCACCGCGCCACTCTCCTCTAGTCTCCGCCCGCTCTGCTCGCCACCCGCCCGCCTGCCTCGGAATCGAGGCCCGCCCGTGCTCGTGAATCCTCCGTCGGCGCGGCGGCGTCGGTATTCCTCCGCCGTGTGCCGCCTCCCTCCATGGATTTCGTCTGCCCCGTCGATCCCGCGGTGCGATTCCTAAAACCCCGCCAAGCCCTTACTATTTTTTTTTTCAAACGCGTCGGATGCTGCTGGGGTTTTTGAACTATTGATCGCGGTGTGGTGCTAACCCGCGAGTGTTTTTGGGGGGCGATATCTCCGTGCAGGTATGGGACGACGACGGGAGGCATTTCGGGCCGTGCTTCGCGGATTTATATCCTTGCTTCTTCTTTTTTATCTCGAGTGGGTTGCAGTTCTGAGGTTTTGTTGTTCTCGATTGTGGTTTGCTGTTGGTGCTCTTCTGAGGTCTCTCCTTAATACTTTTGTCGTGGCTGTACGGTGCTGGGGTTCGCCGGGAATGCGATCGCCACGGTTGCTGCGCTCGGGCTCTTCCTCGCCAAGAGGAACACAACCAGAGCTCAGGTACTTGATTTTGCTCTGCATCATCTACTGCTTCTCTATTTCATAAGTAACCGATCAATTTTGCGATTATTTCGAGGAGCATTTCGCTGTCTACGTTCACGCTGTTAGAGTAGGTGCGGCAAGTATGTCTAGTTTGCATTTGTTTCAGCTGTTACAGAGTCACAGGACTAGCAATTTACTCTGATGTCGACAGCCGAGATACATTTTCTTCTTCCTATCGGCATACTTTGACCTGATGTGACTCACACTAATAACGGAGATAGTTCCCTTTTTCTGTAGCAGTACTAATTGTCTGGGACTTGTGTCAGTCAAATTAGCTTAAGTTTGACAAAGTTTATAATGAATAGTATTGTCGCCAATAAAATTTAGTATGAAATATATTTCATAATTAATCTAATAATACTTATTCTGTATCGTGAATACTAATACTTTTTAATATAATTTTAGTCAAAGTTCAAATTCTTTGACCCCTCGAAAAGCGAGAATTGCATTCTTTTGTGGATAGACGGAGTATGTAACTGCGTTGTGCTCATAGAGGGGTAAAAATAAGGACGGCATCTACTATACTGCTGCTAATTTTGAATTATGATAATTCCTTTTTGTGTTTGCATTCCATGCCTACAAAGCAATACATTGCTGTTAATGTATTAGGCCTTATTCAAATGCCTGTGATGCTCCCGATATCGCATTATATATTTCACATGTTTCTTTTTGTGCTAGACCATTTGGAGTATTCAAGTAAAGCTTGCACTGATGATTTAGTCCTAAGTAATTGTAGGGTTAGCACCTTCAGTTACTTATGAATATGTTGATAATTGAAACTGGATCAAGATTTCAGAAATTTGGTGGTCATACTAATACTAGGAGAATTCAAGCAGCTGGCAGCATAATATACCACCCAGTACCACATAATGATATTATATGTTCTTGCATTAAATAACTTAATGAAACAAGATAAGTTGACACAAGGCAAACCGTAAAAACAACAAATTATATTTTAACACCATATAGAAGCAATGCCCGGGGAGAGTGGCTCTGTATTATATTTAATGGCTTTTACCTGACAATTGTCTTATTCAATTTATGTTCTTCATTATTTGTACCTTGTTATGTATAATAATAGTTCTACTACTTTAGAACGTCAGGAGAGGTTTATCGGAGAAGTTGTTTGCATTCGGTGTGCCTAGTTTTGCAGCCTGCCTTTCTTTGGTTGGACTAAGTATGCTAGCTAAGAAGAAATTTGAAGGGAAGGATGTTGAGAATTATGAACTATTCTTCATATGCTCCCAGTTTATTGCATGGGTAAGAACTCTGTTGTCATCATGATCTTGTTTCTCTTCTGAGTCATATAAATGTTTGAACAAATGTCCTTAGGGTTGGTGCTAAACATTCCTTTTGATAGATGTCTGTAAGTCTTGTCCATGTCAGTGGGACTTGGTTTGAAATCCTCTATAACCCAATAATGTGCTTCTGCTGGATCTTGAAGATTATTCTAGAGATACCTCATTTGCAATACAAGCTTACGTTACTAAAGGTATCCCATTATTTTACAAAACGATTTCCTTTATCTTCGACATGTTAATAAAGCTGTGGAAGACTTCTGCAAAATTCTGCTGTTTTATTATGACTGAAATAAAATATATTTCTTTGTCTTTAAACATCTATTCTAAGCTTTCTTTAATCAATAGGCAATGCCATCTTTTATGGAGATTATCTCATTTTGTACTGCAACCACATTTGGACTCTTTGTTATTGTGGCTGCTGTAGTAGGCAACAAAAGGTACCTGATTCCCCAATTTGCCTACGTTTCTGAATATTTTTTAAAAAATATTTTCATTGTCTAAGATATTGTGAACTAGTACATTTTTTTTGTTTAGCAACTAGTACATACTGTTTCATTTCATTGTCATTGTCCTAAAAGTAATGTGCAACTGTTCACTCTTTCAGAGAAGTGAACTCTATTGAAGCCCCACTCATTCTAAATGATGAAAAAGCTGAGGGTGAAATAACAAACATGGTATGTGATTTCAGTAATAAAGCCTCGGTTTTCTATTGTACATTCAGGATGGTGCATTTTCAGTCTATGACCTGTGTAAGAAGTTTTACATTAGTTATGGTATTGCTGTGATAATCTCATCTTATGCATGCTTTTTTTTTCCTCGAACACACATGAGAGGTGGGTATCATTATATTAAGTAGAGGTCATCTTATGCATGCCATAAAGTTGCTATTAGCTTGCAATTTGAATACATGGTCTTGTAACACATTGTAAATTTCTGTGTATGAACAACTATATTGCCCGCAAATTTTACAGGATCTGTGCTAACTGCTGCATGCTGACGTGCATTGACTTCCTTATTGTTCACTATTTGGAGTTGATCGTCGATATTTGGATCCTGTCCAATCTTTCTTATTTATTTTCCAGGACCAAAAGGTAATTGTGACTTCTTCCCTTAATGTTATCTTTTTCAGATAAAGGACTACAATTTGTGGGAACTGTTGACTTTCAAATTCGTTAATCCAGTGATGGACATTGGTATCACAAGACAACTTGGCTTCACAGATTTACTTGAGTTACCAACTGAGCTTAGAGCTACCTCCTGTTATGACAAACTTCTGTCTTCCTGGACTGCTGAATATCAAAACCACCATGACAACTCATCTCTACTTAGAGCCATGTCTTATTCTTATGGATGGACATACTTGCATTTGGGACTTCTTAAGGTATCCTTTTCTTTTTATTGAGGTTGTTGAATTGAGTAAAAGGATGTTGCTAGATGTCAACTCTGGGATTCATGGCATATAAAAGTTGGCGTCCTTTTGTTCTCACCTCGTTTATGGCAATTAGAAATATATCCTTTTTTTTTGCAAGGAACAATTAATATATCCTACAAGGAGCAGATTACACAAGTGACCTGAAACATATCATCATAGTATTACCTGAAATTCCATGAACGGCAACATGGGATTAATTATCTTAGAACAACAACTTTTTCATGTTATTACACTTATTTCAAAGCCAAGCATTCTTAAATTGAAGTTCACACTGATTGCCTTTAAGTTTCTAACATTCTATTCATGCAGGTATTAAATGACAGCATCAGTTTTGTTAGCCCTCTGTTGCTGAACAAGTTTATAAGACTTCTTCAGGAAGGTATTAATCCCTCAAGAATAGAAGATTCATTATTAAAAGTTCTCCCAGGCAAATAGATACTCTGTTCATTCTTGGCATTTGAAGCAATATTCTATTTGGGAGCAAAAGACTAACAACAGACGTTCTTGCATGCCTCTTTTCTTTTAGGATTCTTGTGTTGTTCATTTAGAAATTTTGTGTAACATACGGACATTGTAGTTAAAAATATATAGGTATTCCTATATAAAATAGAAGTGCATGCAAATATTGCTAATTATCTGGTCAAATCCATCCAACTCGGAAATTTTATTCGATTTTTTTCAGCAATCTAATATACTAATCTACATCTTCTGTTGGTTTCTGCACAACTTTTCAGGTTCTGATGGCATGGATGGATATATTCTTGCCATTTCCTTAGGATTGACTTCTATTATCAAGTAAACCATCCTTACTATATGATTTGCACTTTTGCACATCCATTGAAGTGTTTATGATTTCTTTTATACTCAAACCTTTGATAATGATGAATACATCTCATTTCTGTGTCATTTATTTTTCTTGACGTTTAACAGACTATTCTCAACCTATATACTGGAACTATAAGTTACATTATAGGTGTTAAACTGGTGTTCTCATGTTAAGGCTGCATCACTGTGGCTGTATCATATTCTACATTCGTACTAGTGTTACATGTTCATGTGGTTTCAAGTTGCAATCTATCTACTTTCCTCCTTATGAGGAGCAGATACTTAGTCATACCAACAGTTGAATTTGATGATAATAAAGATGAATTTAGCAATTACATCTCTGAGCACCTTGTTGTATTATGGGTGTTATATTTTCTTGTTACAATATATTGTCATCGAAACACTGAAACAGAATACCATATTAGTGGACCTTTGCTTGTCGAAAGAGAATTACCTTGGTGGTGGTTCCTTGGATTATATGTTCTTAGTTCTTAGTATTAACTAGCATTTTTTCGTTTACACTTTTGTTTTTTTTATGCTAGGTCCTTTTTAGATAGCCAGTACTCCTTTCGTCTAGCAAAGCTCAAGTTGATGTTACGATCAAGCATCATGGGGATAATTTATCGGAAGGTATCATCATTCCTCATGCACTGTTAGTATCTTTGTGTGATTTAAAAAAAAAGAAGTAATTCAAACATGTGAAGTCAGCTTGTATTGTACAATAGTTTTCCAAGTTGGCAATGAACCCATACCATCGAGATGTTCTTAAGCATTTGTACTTTGATATCACAATGCAACACTGATTGGTTAGCTATTATCCATAACAACATATTCACAAGGACAATTCGGACTTTCCATTACAAATGACTCAAATTGACACCTAGGAGGTGGAATGTACTCCCTACTGCCACTGGAACTTAGTTGTTGTATGTTAGTTCATATGTCGTTTATTTTCATATAGATGTCATTCAGACAATCAAAATGGTCTGATTTACTTGAATCTACAATTGTTTCGCAAATTATATGTTATAATATAATTGATAAAATGCAATCATGTAAAAATACTTTTAATAAAATATCTTGTGACAACATTTCCATTTGAAAAGTTCAATTAATTTTTGACATGATAGCTAACAATGTTTTTTATTTTAAAAAATTGAATGCGCGTTCAAGGACGAAATGTATCTGGAATAGTACTTGCTAATTTTGATATAGCGTAGAACTTCTGCTGGGTATTCTATATAGCTTCTGTGGAAGGCTGGAAGCTCGTTTTGATCTACCAATTTGACATTGTATTATGTAACGAATTCAATTTTGAAGCATGTTATAACTTTATTTGACTTTTATTTGTTGTTTTTTAAATTTGGATGGATCTTTCTTAAAAAAACAGTGCCTACTTCTCAGTCTAGCTGAGCGTTCTAGGTTTTCTGAAGGTGAGATACAGACCTTCATGTCTGTTGATGCTGACCGCACAGTAAACTTGTGTAACAGCCTTCATGATGCCTGGAGGTACTTCTCATCTCAATCTCACATTTTTGTGTATGAAAGACTTAGATTACTATATGTATGCCCATGCACTCCATTATCTAATTCTTTGCATGATTTGGTGTTTATCTAGCTTGCCACTGCAGATTGGAGTTGCTCTTTATCTGTTATATACACAAGTCAATTATGCTTTTCTATCTGGGCTTGCAATAACAATCATACTAATACCAGGTATGCTTACCTTATGCTTCCCTGTTCTGTATTAGGCCATGCATGACCTTTTATCCTTCCAAAAAATGGATTGTGAATTCTATCATCTCTTGGTTTGCCCATATTGTCTTGTGAATATTGATCTATTGACCAAGGCATGCTTCTTATACTAGTCCAAATACAAGGCATGCTTCTATACTAGTCCAAATACAAATAGATGTATGTTATAAGAACCTGATGGTGCTAGGGACTGAGATTTTAGTGTGTAATGCTAGCCCATGTTTATAATCTAATCATAACTTCCTCGAATTAAAATTTCTGCTCATATTTTTTACTTTTAACCATGTCAGTCTCTTTTTCTTGTAACCATGTATACGTGCACAGTGAACAAATGGATTTCTACAAGGATTGCTGGTGCAACAGAAAAGATGATGAAGCAAAAAGACAGAAGGTAAGAAAACTGGTCCTCCATTGCATTTGATGAATAAAGAAAACATGTTTAATTTTGCCATATTCCCATATCGCCGAGGTGCTTTCTCAAACACCATTACATTATACCTCAGCTTCACTGGCATATACTGTTGATTTGTTTTGGGTCATGAGGCATGAGGAATCATGCAAAAGTTTGCTAGTCAACACAATAATTATAGAACTTAAATACTCCAAAATTTATCCATGAATAGGATAAGCTGTGCAGGGGAGCTCTTAGCACATATTAGAACAGTGAAGATGTACAGCTGGGAGAAACTATTCACTGAACGTTTGGTGGAAAGAAGAGAATCAGAAGTGAAGCATCTCGCGGTGTGCAACTTCTCATAACTAATCTACATTTTATAATAAGTTGCACATCTTGCACTGGAACTAACAAGGGCCTCCTATTTCCCAATAGACTAGAAAATATCTGGATGCTTGGTGCGTCTATTTCTGGGCAACCACACCGACATTGTTCTCCCTTTTCACCTTTTCAATTTTTGCAATTATGGGACACACATTGGATGCTGCCACGGTAAAACAATATCATGAATGATATGCTTAGGATATGCCTTTGGACCAAGAAACTTCCTACTGATATCTGGAATCCTTATTACAGGTATTTACTTGTGTTGCGCTCTTTAACACACTAATATCACCGTTAAACTCATTTCCATGGGTTATTAATGGGATGATTGATGTAAGTGGATAATTGGTTTATGTTATTATACTGTTACGTACATTTGCAGCTGCACTAACATTCAATGCTTTGGTTGCTGCAGGCTGTTATCTCTAGCAGACGGCTGAGTAATTATTTATCTACTCCAGAACATCACTCGTCCGAGTTTACTGCCTCTGCTGACCTTTTAAACCACCACTTTAAGAGAGACACCGAAGTAACTCATAATCTAATGGCCGTCGTCCTTCAGAATGTATCCTGTTCTTGGTCTAGCAGCTCTGTTGCTGAGCCGAGCATAGTTCTCAGAGATATATCTTTGCAGCTACAAAAAGGGCTCTTTATTGCAATTGTAGGCGAGGTAATTATTCTGACCATCACATTTTCGTTTTTATACTAAGGTGTTCGGGGCTGGTTATGTGGTGGGGGTACACAATTTCGTTAATGGTTTGGTTGGGAAAACTGAATAGCATGTGTTTGGCATATTATATTATATATCTCAATTTGCCATTACATGCAAAGAAATGCAACCAGATGTTCAGATTTTTTTTATAATCGTCTAATCTGATGCTATTTATATTTTTCTCTGAATTGAGGAAATTTTATGTCTATCAGGTTGGTTCTGGTAAATCATCTTTGTTGAACACAGTCATTGGAGAGACTCATGTCATCGGTGGTTCTATTAGCTCCTGTGGTTCAATTGCCTATGTACCACAGGTAGCACTTTATGACCTGGAAATTGCTTAAAACTTGCATTTGAAATGTCTCGAGACTAAAAATGGAACTGGTGTTCTGTAGGTACCATGGATCTTATCTGGCTCTTTACGAGATAATATTTTGCTTGGGAAAGAATTTGATCCGAGGAGGTAGTTTATTTATGCCTCTGACAGATGTTATCACAAATTTGTTTTGTTAGGTCCTTGCATGACATTAGAGCAGCTAACATGAACCATTGGAGATGCTCATACACCATAGAATTTATTGCTTCCCTTTTAATTAGCATTCCGCATCACAAAATTAATGCAGATACGAAGAAGTAATAGAGGCATGTGCGCTTCGTGTTGACATATCGGCAATGGCCAGAGGAGATATGTCACATATTGGAGAGAAAGGCACCAACTTATCTGGTGGACAGAGAGCTCGTCTGGCATTGGCAAGGTCATGTTTTTGACAACTTTGTGGACTTTCATCCTTCTTAAGCTCGCTAGCTAACATTATGATCATACACTTGCAGGGCTTTATACCACAATTCTGATGTATACTTGTTTGATGACATCCTTAGCGCAGTTGACTCCCAAGTTGCTTCGTGGATCCTGGAAAAGGCTGTTATGGGGCACCAATTAATGCAGAAAACAAGATTACTAAGCACGCACAATCTTCAGGTAATATTCATTGAATCATATCCAAACTAACTGCACCACATTGGTATTAAATGTATGAATAATATTTAAGGTTATATCTCATACTACTAGGTTGTATGCATGGAATAAGCGGAGTGATGCTGAAAGAACAATGCAATTTTCTTTTCGTTTCCTTTTCTGTTTCCCAGGCCATTGCTGCTGCAGATATGATTGTAGTCATGGCTAATGGGCTCATTAAGTGGTTCGGGACACTGGAATCTTTCTTGGCAACTCCATATTCAAGAATCTCTAAGCCAGATAATTCGAGTCCTACCTCATATGCAGCTTCTGTGAAAGATAAAACACCAATGGTAACATGTGAACTGAAAACTGATGATATACTTGAAGATTTAGTGGTTTCTTATGAGGAGACAACAGATCAGGTAGAAGAAGAGGCAAGGAAACAAGGCAAGGTTGAGCTCGGTGTCTACAAGTGAGTTATTTTGTGAACTGGAGTGCGCTATACAATAGAATGATAAAAATATTTCAGTCTTGTGTGATCTATTATTCACAATGGTTCTTTTTTTTACAGAAAATATGCAGCATTTGCGGGGTGGTCAGCTGTTGTTTTAATATTCCTAAGTGCATTCTTAATGCAAGCATCTCGTAACGGCAATGATCTTTGGTTAACTTACTGGGTTGATACCAGCACAGGTACCAACAACACAAGATTTTATCTGGTAAGAGTACTTTCTACTAAGTAAACATGAACCATAATAATCAGTATGTTGAATTTGGTGTTCAGTTGTTCACAAAGAAATATTTTCAGCACATTTATGCTGATTCAAAAATTTGCCTGTGCAGATTATCCTTGCTATGTTTGGCATCATCAATTCTCTTTTCACTTTGGGAAGGGCATTTTCTTTTGCATTCGGTGGCCTCCGTGCAGCAATCCATATTCATGCATCTCTTCTTGAAAATATCATCAGTGCCCCGATCTGTTTCTTTGACCAAAATCCCAGTGGTCGGATCCTAAACAGGTTTGGTATCTTATTCATCAGATCACCTCTAGTTTTTTAGTAAGCTTCGAAAGGTTGAAACGCCCCATGGTCTTGACGCTTTACGAACTTTCAGATTATCGTCAGACCTCTACACCGTTGATGATTCTCTTCCTTTCATCCTCAATATATTTGTGGCCAACTTCTTCAGCTTACTCGGCACTCTGGTTGTTTTGTCTTATTCACAGGTAAATTATGTAAACAATAGTTTAGGGCCAGCCTTGTACAGTTGTACTTCAGAAAAGAAACTAAACCATGTTTCTTGTATTTCATGAATGTTTGGTCTGCAGGTTTCCTTCTTACTCATCTTACTTCCACTCTGGCTTATCTATAGGAAGCTGCAGGTACCAATTTCACTCATTTATTTCTGTATTGATGCTTAACTCATTTATCTGAGCCTTTATAGACTATATAAAATCCATACTTTAATACAACAGTGTGTAACAGTTAATACTCTTTTTCTCTTAGTTAACACAGTGCATCATGGTATTATATCTATGCTGTATCTTATGAAGAAAGAAACTAATGCTTTGTACAGTTCTATTACAGGTCTACCTCACGTGAAGTACGGCGACTTGATAGCGTTGCTCGTTCACCAATCTATTCATCTTTCACAGAGACACTTGATGGTTCATCAACAATAAGAGCTTTCCAGAATGAAGTATGTTTCTTTTTTCTTCCCAAGGCAGAAGGAAGCATTCTAGTTGCATTTAGACAAATTCAGAAGGATGTTAAAACATCATAACTTTCCTTTTGAACTCAAAAGCATCACATATCAAAGGCACTAGTGCTAGTGCTTGTGTGGTTTGTTCAAGATATTGACAGTACACTACACAGGGGTTCTTCTTGGAAAGATTCATCCAACATGTGACACTATATCAGAAAACATCCTACTCTGAGCTCATTGCTAGTTTGTGGCTCTCGCTGAGACTCCAGGTACATATTTTTTTTTTGTCCTGCTATAATAAAATCATCATGTACATGGAATTAGTTACTTTTATCCATCAGTAAGGCCTATAATCAGGCACTGCAGTGACGAGCAAACTGTTCAGTTGTTGGCAGGTTTTATCATTCTGTTTATCGCCATGATGGCCACTATCAGCTTCCAAAGCAGTTCTCTTGTCAACTTAGCGACACCTGGACTGGTAAGTTTTATTGGACACAATTGCTGACCTTGTACTTCGGCATTTCCATCTCGATGGAAATTGTAAATATAGTTCTGTTCAAAGTACTAGATATTAATCATATTAAAAAATCTACTGCAGGTGGGCCTGGCTTTATCATATGCAGCACCTGTAGTATCGTTGCTGAATGGCTTCTTAACCACCTTTACAGAGACAGAAAAGGAAATGATCTCCGTGGAAAGGGTTGACGAGGTAACCCGAAGAATCACTTTTATCCTTATTCATCAAGCATCTCTCTACCTTTAATAGCTTGATGATGCTTGCAGTACATTGGCATACCTCAAGAAGAACTCCAGGGATCAGAACCTCCACCGAGAAACTGGCCAACGGAAGGGAAGATTGAGTTTGAACATGTAACACTGAAGTACAAGCCAGAGCTACCACCTGCTTTAAGTGACGTTTCGTTCCTTATTGCATCAGGCATGCAGGTATAATGCTTCCAAGATTTCCACTGACTCATTTTGATTTGCGAAGCTATCCTGATGTCTGCTCTGGCTTTTAGGTTGGAATAATAGGAAGGACTGGAGCAGGCAAATCAAGTATACTGAATGCACTTTTCCGCTTAGTTCCAATTTGCAACGGTCGCATCTTAGTAGATGGCATTGATTTGGCTAAAGTTGCCGTCCGAGAACTCCGTGGACATTTTGCAGTAGTTCCACAGAGCCCCTTTTTGTTTGATGGGTCTTTGAGGTAACTACTGAGTGCTCATTTTCACAGTTTTCAGGCTGGCTTTTCACTGTTTTCATGCTGACTATTTTCATGCTTGCACTGATTAGGGAATAAACAAAAATCAATGTTCAATATTCAATATTCAATATTTTAATCTTGAATATACGTGACAGGGAAAACCTGGATCCTTTCAATACAACAACAGATCTCAGGATATGGGAAGTTCTTGAAAACTGCCATATGAAGGGAGAGGTAGAATCAATAGGTGGACTCGACATCCATGTGAAAGAAAGCGGTGCATCTTTTTCAGTAGGGCAGCGACAGCTCCTATGCCTTGCCCGTGCCATCCTAAAATCGTCCAAGGTACAGGCTACCATATCATTGCAGTATTGCTTATAGCAGATACACAATTGTGTAAAAGCCTAATCAAAACCATCTGGTTAATTCTATCGGTTTTAATGATGAGTTAAAAATCTCAGTCAGAGATGATCAAATAAGTGATGCATCTAATTATAATGATTCTGCAGGTGCTTTGTCTAGATGAGTGCACAGCCAATGTTGACAACCAAACAGCCTTCCTGTTGCAAAATACTATTTCTACTGAATGCAAAGGCATGACTGTTCTCACCATAGCACATCGTATTTCAACAGTGATGAAGATGGACAATATTCTAGTTCTTGATCAAGGAAAACTGGTAAGTTGTGCTACTAGGATCAACATTTTGAAGTACCATTGCAAAAACCAAAGAGGAATATGGGAATGAACTCAGAACATATGTACCACAATAACATTTCGCAAGAATGATACGATCATAACAATACAAATGAGGATGCCACATTTGTTGAAAATTGCTGTTAAAAACACTACATACAAAAAAAGGGTCCTAAACCAAGTGACAACAAAAATGGATCAGCGTTTTAATTCCTATGGTAAATGACAGACCTCCAGGTCATGAGTATGCTTTTGTTCAAATGCCTTATTATCCAATTAGTGTAGGATGTTATCTAACTCTATACCGCTCCACTTTAGGTTGAAGAAGGAAACCCAGAAGCCCTTATGAATCACAGACTCTCAAGATTCGCTCAGTATGCCAAGGCATCTCAGATGTGATTATTGGAGCATGGTTTCCTACTATGTTATGCTAGGCCTTTTTACTTTTTTTAGAGTTAGAACTTACTTCCTAGACATTAGATTTACCACCAACCAATGAGCTTGTAAGAACAACTCCAAAATGACACCACTAGCTAATATGGCTAACAGAGGCTCTGACCCTCTATTCGAACCATTGAATATATGGTGATCCCCTAGCTGTTGAAATTCCATGTTCTGGTACTAACAGGGAAATGGATCACAGAAATTGTTTCTAAATAAGTGCAGTTCATGAAAACCTTACTTCATTGATTGCTTTTCAGTTCTCATGGCTGTTTTGTTTTGGTAAGGAGTAGGTATTTTCAATTCTAGTGGCATGGTGCTTGATTGCGCACTACAAGTGAGGCACCGCCAGGATGGATTGACATACAAAGCACTAAGCTGTCTCAATTCTCAAATTGATCTCAACTGGCAATGAGGGAAAATGCAGGGGATTAATAACCATCTGCAGTTTCATTCACAAGCAAAACTGAACATGGTAGCAAAGTAACCCCAATTAACTGCACAGATCCCACAACACCAGATCTTTATGGAGTGAATTCGTCCAGATTGTCAGATTGGAAACACGAATTTACAGTTTACAGATGGGCACAGGACGGATTTAGTCTACTAATAACCCAACACAGGGATGCACACAGCAGAGGCACGGACCAGAGCACCGCGGGGATCCGTTCATCGGTCAGGCGACGTAGACGTAGACGTAGTCGTCGTCGTCGTCGGGGTCGCGGTGGCGGTGGCGGTGGCGGTGGGGGTCGACGGAGCAGATGACGTAGACGGCGTAAAGGACGCCGGGGAGGTAGCCGAGGATGGTGAGCAGCACGCTGATCCAGAACTCCAACTGCCGGGAAAGGCAAACCGAGCAACGGGGCTGTAAGCGCAGAGCAAGGAGGGAAGGGATCAGGAAGAGGAGGGAGGGGGACTCGCGGAGCAGCAGCCGTGGCGGAGGCAGACGCCGAGGGGCGGGAGGAGGACCGAGCACAGCAGCTCCAGGCACCGGCACCGGCAGCAGCACGAGCACAGGCCCATCTCCTCCTCCTCCTGCGGCCGGCCGCGCGCGTGCAGTTGCTGATTGATGGCGTCTCGGCCACCGATCCTGGAGCGCTGCCCCGCTCGCTTGCTCTGGGAAACTGGGAGGTGGGATTCACGGCAGCCGAGCGCGGACCGGGGAACGAGTTTTTTTTTTTCTCTTCTCTTCGAGCGGAAGGAACTGAACACGGCCAATCACCACGGGCCACGGCACGACGCGGTCTCGCGCAAGCTGACGCGAGTCAGCAATGGAAATTTGGGCGTGATTGGATATTTTTGGCTGAGGGCGCGTTTAGATCCGAAATTATTTGGGGTTTAAGTACTGTAGCACTTTCGTATGTATTTAGTAATTAATGTCTAATTATAGACTAATTATGTTCGAAAGTTTAGTCTCGCGATTTCTCACCCAACTGTGTAATTAGTTATTTTTTTTTTGTCTACATTTAGTACTCCATACATGTGCCGCAAAATTCGATGTGACACTTACTGCGCAAAAATTTTGGGTTTTTGGGGAGAACTAAACGGTGCCTGAATCGGATGCCTGAACTAGTTACTTGGGCCTGGCCGGCCAGGTGCAGAGTGATCTGGGAACTAGTTCTGTCACGTCAGACATTCGGATATTAATTATGATTAAATATGAGTTAATTATAAAACTAATTGCGTAGACAGAGACTAATTTAGGAGACGAATATATCAAGCCTAATTAATCCAGCATTAACAATTTTTACTGTAGCACCGTATTGTCGAATCATAGAATAATTAGGTTTAATATATTCGTCTCGTAAATTAATCTTAATCTGTGTAATTAGTTTTATAATTAGTCTATTTTTAATACCTTTAATTAGTGTCAAACATCTGATGTAATAGGGACTAAAGTTTACTCTAGGGGACTATAAGTTTAGTCCGGGGAACCAAACACCTAACTAGTTCTCGGCATATACTCTCTCCGTCCCTAAAAAAGAGTCGCTATGGGAATCGTGTTAGTCAATCTTTTTCAACTTTGACTAGTTTTATAGAAAATTGGTGCAATATTTATATCTCCAAATAAGTTTATTATGAAAGTATATTCAACGATTTAACTAATGATACTAATAATGTACTATAAATATTAATATTTTGTAAAATATATTTGGTCAAAATTAAAAGTTGTTGACTTTTTGGAAGCGGGAATGACTTTTTTTAGGGACAGAGAGAGTACATGAAAAAAAAAGGGTCAGATGCCCACGGTTACGGTCCGTTCTCATGCCTCATTTCGAACGTCCACACGAGGGCCTGTGCCGCTCGGACGTCACCCACCTGCGCTTGCATTTCGTGCGCCCATGCGAGGGCCCGCGCCACCTAAACGTCGCCTGCTCCACGCGCCCGCGCGGGAACCACTCGCGCGTGCCCCATCTCGCTTCCCACGTGCAACACTCATCTAATTTCGAAACATCAAGATGTAATACTTGTAACATATAAAATAAGACAGATAAAACACTTGAAACATGTGTCTGAAATATTTGCAAAAACACTTGAAAACCATTGAAAACATATGCAACATCCAGATAAAACACTTGCAACATACGTGTGAAACATATACAACGTCCAGATAAACACACTTGCAACATACGTTTGAAAAACAGATGAAACATTGGAAACAGACGCTTGCAACATACATGTACAAACCATTGGAACATATGCAACACCCTAATATACTTTGCAACATCCGTATGAAACACTTGCACCGTACCTCTGAAATATCTGGAACATACGTTTGCAACACGTGTTGTTCAGCACAACATGGCGCGAGCGGCGCGGTGAACTGACGCGGTGGAGGCGGCCGCAACAACAGATGACGGCACCCGACGCGGTGGAGACGGCCGCGACAGCAGATGGCGGCACTCGACGAGGTGGAGGCGGCCGTGACAGTCGGATGGAGGCGCCCTGCCACGGTGGAGTCAGCCGTAGCAGGCCTACCTGGGCGCTGCAGCTCGAGGACGGTGGTGAGGAAGAACAGGGCCGACGTGGCCGAAGAGCTTGGCGACGAAGATGGTGGAGTGGCCCTGCGCCTCGGCGCCGTCGATCCACTACAGCGCGTGGGGCGAATCTGCGCGGGCGAGGGTGCACGACGTAGGCGGGAGCGAGTGGCGCTTGTCCGTACGAAACACTTGCAACATACCTCTGAAACACCTGGAACATACATTTGCAAGACGTGTTGTTCAACACAGCATGGCATGGGCGGCGTGGCTAACTAACGCTGTGGAGGCGGCCGCGACAGCAGATGACGACACCCAACACGGTGGAGGAGGCCCCAACAGCAGATGCGCCCGTGGCAGTTGAATGGAGGCGCCCGCCACGGTGGAGTCTGTAGCAGGCCTACCTAGGCGCTGCGGCTCGAGCACGGCAGTGGGGAAGGACACGGCCGACGCGGCCAAAGAGCTTGGCGACGAAGACAGTGGAGTGGCCCTGCGCCTCAGCGCCGTCAATCCACTACAGTGCGCGCGGGGCAAATTTGCGCAAGCGAGGGCGCGCGACGCTAGCGGGAGCGAGCGGCGTTTGCGTAGCGAGGCGCACGGGCTGGAGCGAGCGGAGCTTTTTGTCTGGGTACATGGTTTGATGCGTCCGATGGGAACGGGGCGTCCAAACACCCTAAACAGAGCATTGCCCAAAAAAACATGATTTTTCTTCGTTTCCTCAGGCACAGGCGCACAGGCTAGCGAGGGCGCTTACGCGATGGTCGAACTGCTAAGCATGTTCATCTTTCTTCTTATATTTCATCATGGGCGTACGCCCAACCGAACAGCAGCTGAGTCTAGCCAGGACATGTGTGCGCTTCTGTCCAAACAAGGCTCTTTTACATGAGCTTAGCTAGGTTAGTGAGACCCTGGTTCTGCTCAGAATCAAATCAATCACGCCCTAACATTTTCGCTTGTTTGCAACTAGTAGCAGCTCACAGTTCTGGAGGAGGTGTCTTGGGCTGCTCAAGAAGCGAAGATGGGTTACAGCCTTACAGGTGAAGTAGGGGATGACAGGCAGGTAAGACTTTGAGAAGACAATTGGCTGGGCTTGATCAGCCCTGTCATCTTTTGAGATGTGTATACCTTTGCTAATGAACATGTATGTGCTGGAGCTGAACATTTAATCCATTATTTGATGGGTAAACACAGATAAACATCTCGAGGTCTCGAATATGCACTAATGTACTACCTTCTATCAGTCATCCAGGCTATAAACTTTTTATTTTGAATACCAAGTTACCAACACATAAACAAGAGAAACATAACGCCAAGGAACATATAAGACCCATTCCAATTTTGCACTTTATGAGTAAATATAACATGTGTAAACCACTGAAATTTTATGCAGCCATATGTCACATATAATACCTAGAATAATTTTAACAAATGGCTGCGCCAGGATTTACTTCAAATGTTGCCATTGAAAGTGAGCTGCTATCCCGACAGTGGTCACCGCAACTTGTAGTATAATCACATCGGTGGACGCATGCCAACAAGGCAACAATGCAAGAATTTTGATGCCACACCTCCCGTAAGGTATTCTCCAATTCTCCAGGTCTTCTATGAACCTTGAGCCGTGCATCAATCATGCTAAGCGCTTATGTGAGTTGGGTGGCTCCTCTGCGTCAATTCATCGTAAATCTTCAAGCAGATCTAGCCAGTCTTCTCAACTAAAAACCAACCATGCATTTGATTTTGGATGACCATGACCACCAGAATAATACAAGACAATATGTCAAACATTTTTAATCATCAGAACCCTTGTCCAGGACAGGTTGGCTGTTTTGATGAGGCTGGGAAATCCAGTGCAGCCCATCGAGCAATTCTGAGTACATCCTCTGATCCAATGCCCCTCGCTTCTTCCCTTTGAGCTCCTCTAGCACCTCAAATGCCTCCTCTGTCCGTCCAGCCCGACACAGCTCCTCCAGCAATGTCCTG